TCTTCCGTTCTTCTCGCTTCAGTCTTTCGGCCACGGTTCTCCTCTCATCAACCAGGACCACGGTGAAGGACTTCATCTTCAGCAGATCATCTTTGAGGACCGCCTGTGTCTTGGCCATCTTTGACTCTGAAGATTCCAGCTCCTTCAGTCTGGTCTTCACAGCCTCCAGCTCTCCGGCCAGATCCTTCACCACGTGTCTCTCCTTCTCCAGGCTTGTGTGGACCTGAGAACACTCCTTTTTGGTCCTGCTGACCTTCTCCTCCAGCTTCTCCAGCTCCACCATCCTCTTCTGCAGCTTGTCCACCTCCAGCGTCAGCTCCTGGCTGCGGTGCTCCTCCTCCTGCAGATGTCTTCTCAGACCCTGACACTGACTTTCTGTTTTGGTGAGTTCTTCGTCCTTCCCTTCCATCTCCAGAACTTTCTTCCGCAGGTTCTCCAGCTCTGCCACCAGAGAAGAACTGCCGCACTCTCCTCTGCTGATCTTCTGCCTCAGCTCCTGGAGGTCCTCCTCCGACTTCTGCAGCACTTTGTTCTTCGCCTCCAGCTCTTCCACCTTTTGTGACAGCGCCACCAGCTGGAGCCTCAGCTGCCGACCTTGGACTTCCTGTTGGGCCATCTTCACGGTCATCTCCTCATGCTCCTGTGAGAACTTGGTGGTCTTGTGCTCCAGCTCAGTCTCCAGCTTGAACATCTTCTGCCCGTCCACCTTGGCAGCAGCCAAACAATGTTCTGCCTGCCTCAGTTTGAGGCTCAGGTCTTGGATCTCCTGGTTCTGCCGGTCCATCTGCTCCACGAGCCGCTGCCGCTCGTCTACCAACATCAGGGCGAAGGACTTGAGCTTCACCAGCTCCTCTCGGACCTTCTCCAACCTTCTGCACTGGTCCTTGTCCCTGCGTGTCTGGTAGGACTTCTCCTGCTCCAGGAGCCTCTTCAGTCTACGACCATGGGAGCAGAAGAAGAAGAAGAAATGAAACTTCACTGAGTTAACTGAGATCTCCAGTGACCTAAGCCTGCTGGCCATCTGTGGTACTGCAACTAGGTGCACATGACTCACCTCTCTCTGTCCTGCTCCAGCAGGTTGGTGAAGTCGTCGCTCTTGTTCATAAAATCCATGTGTTTGCGTTTCTCGTTGTCCAGCTCAGCCACGGTGCGACGATGACACTTCTCCGCCAGCAGGAGCTGCTCTAACATCCGTCGGTACGTCTCCTTCTTCCTCCAGACGCTCCAGCTGAGCAGGGAAAGCAGACGTTAAAGACTGGTCTGACCCTGGTCTGGACTGACCCTGGTCTGGTCTTCTCACCTCAGCCATGGGCTTTTCGTACACGTCATCGTTGCTGTCGCTGCTTTTGACCAGCATTGCGTCTCTCTGCAGTGCCTGCAGAGGCCTGTAGGGGGCAGCGGATCCATAGTGAGCCTCCAGGGTCTCAGGCCTGGTTCCGTCCGACTTCAGCAGACTGATGACGTCCTCTCTGGCCTGAGGAGACACAGTCTCATCTGTTGACTCGACTAGTGATGTCTGTCTACACCTAACCATTTACCGCTAGCCTGTTAGCTTGTTATCACATCTACAGTTAGCATCTTTTCAACTGTTCTTAGCCATCTCTTATTTTAGTCGTTTTAGCTCAAGTTTGGGCTAATTCTTGTCATCGTCTGCTGCTCGTCCACTGATCTGTTATCTACTTTTGGCTAACGGTTAGCGGGTGGGGGGGGGGGGGGGGGGGGGGGGTTAAGCTCCACCTGAACTTCTCCTTCCATGATTCCCAGCAGGTGGAGCAGGTCGGTCTTGGACAGTTCAGCCGCCGTCGTCCTCCGTCTCCCGTCTTTCTCCTCCTTCTGGACTTTCATGTTGCTCCTCTTCCTCTCCTCCTCCTCCTCCTCCTGCTTGATGAAACCTTTCCCAGACTGGACGTGTCCCCCATCGGCCTGGTCTGGACTCTCGGCGCTGCTGTTCCTGGAACGCATTTTTGAACGACCTGCGATCAGAGATCAGACAAAAGCAATCAAACTGCAGAAAACAGGGAAACTGGACTAGTTAACTAGTTAACTAAGTCTGGTTAACCAAGTCCAGTCTGTGGACTGTAAACAGGTCAGTCTGTAGACCACAGCCCAGTCCCAGTCTGGTCTAGTCCGGCTCCTGGTTTGTGTCTGTGAGGAGATCATTTTATCAGACGTCAGCTGACCCTCACATGCCTGACGTTTGAC